TAGTAGAAAACAGATTTTGGCTAGCGATTAACTAAAATAAGACAGAGACAGCGCACAAATGGATAAGAGCAAATAAGAGAAGTTAAGCATAAGGAAGAAAAAAGGCATTATCTTAAACTTATTTTTCCAAGATAAATCAAAATAAATAAATATTTTTTCAAGAAATTTTTCAAAGCAATTTACTTTTACTTTAATTTTTTTCGAAAAATCGGGAGTTTTTATAATCTGATAAAAACACGTACATTGCACATTCTTGCACTTTTAACGGTTTTAAAGACTTTTTGATACTTTATAAATTATAAGTTATACTGGAGTATAGATTTTCACTATTTTTGCCTTTAGGTACTAGCAATTTTCTCAGTTGTTTGTCGCGAAATAATAAGCTTTTTATAAAATAAAAAACCTAATTTGCATTTCATTTTTTTTCTTTTGTAAATGGCGGAAAAACTGTACCACAAATGAGCAATAAGAGCAAATAAGAGAAGCTAAGCATAAGAAAGAGAAAGGGCATAAGAGCATCTCTTTTTATCGTAAACACGATTTTTTTTATTTTTCGAAGATAAATCAAAATAAATAAATATTTTTTCAAGAAATTTTTCTAAGAAATTTATTTTTACTTTAATTTTTTTCGAAAAATCGGGAGTTTTTAAAATTTAATAAAAATACGTACATTGCACTTTTTCTTGAACTTTCAACGGTTTTGAAGACTTCTTGATAGTTTATAAATTGACTATTTTTGCTTTTGGTACTAGCAATTTTCTGAATTGTTTGTCACAAAATAATAAGCTTTTTTATAAAATAGGAAATTTAACTTGCATTTCATTTTTTTTTCGGAAAAACTGTACCTCAAAGGTTATAATGTTTTGAAGTTTAGATATGTAGAATGTTCCGAGAAATCGATTGCAGAATACAGATTTTGGCTAGCGATTAACTAAAATTAGACAGAGACAGCGCACAAATGCATAAGAGAAGCTAAGCATAAGAAAGAGAAAGGGCATAAGAGCCTCTCTTTTTATCGTTTTATAAGATTTTTATAAGACAAGAAATTTAATTTTATTTAACCGATGCATTTTATTATTTAAATTGTGTGGCTATACCACCAATAATTCTAGATTTGTTGGCTAAAGACCGCTCCGGGTATCGAAAATCGACTAAAAAATAAAAAACTCTACAACTTTAAAATTGAATCATATCATTTCTAGAGGTCCTAGAGACTGAAAAAGTGTATGAATTATTAAAAATCGTACAAAAAAATATGAAGTTGTTTTTTTTATATGTAATCTTCGGAAATGCATATTTTATACTTTCTATTAAATACAAAATAGAGTTAGCTTCTTTTTTTCTCAATGAGAGTTTGCGTTGATTTCCTTTTTTGATATTTGCGCATATTGTTTTGTGGGCTAGAGATGGATATGGTATTAATCCTTTAATCTTTTAAGTCGGATTAGTTGGGCATGTTTGAAGGTGAGGAGTGGTTAAATTAAAGTGGCGAATTTTTAATATCGGAAGTTTCGCGGAGATGAAATTACCTGTCAAGAGTAATACACAAAGCGGAAAGTATGAGATCAAAAGTAGTGGTTCATAGTGTCGAGAGTCGCTCCATTAGGTGGTAAATCAGTATGGAGAACAAGCTTTTATCTGAGCGACTGCTTCGCATATTAAGATCAAACGAGCTTTGGCATTGAAAGCGTGCTTTTGAAATGGACTCCATTGAAGCTTCAGTGCATTGAAAAACATATTTAACCATCGGTCTCATTAACCACAGTCTAGAATTTCCGCAAACAGGATACTCTTGCAGGCCGCCGGGTTTGTAATCGAATCCGCCACGACGGTCGATGCTAAACCAGAGACGATATAGCCTCTAAACACTAATAAGCGAAAGGAGGGATAATAACACCCCACACCTAATTAAACCCGCTCTCAATCAAAACCTTATAAACACCTGCCACAAGTTTTTAACTGGATAAATCGTTTRAAATTAGAGAAACAAAACCTTTGCCGATAATCGGACCAAAAACGAAAAAAAACATAACTAATAGTTGTTTATTAAAAAGATAGTAGTGGAATAAAAAACCGCTTTCCCTGGCAATTCGGGGCTATCCGTCACCGGAATATTTTTATCTGCTGTCAACCGCAACATAAAACATTGGGAGATAAAGTGGAGTAGTTTCCTCTAGGGACCTCTAGTGCCCAGTACGGACACTGATATAGATGGGATATGTGCTCGCTCGAATTCCTCGATTTCAGCCTCACAAACTTTAGCATCACACAAAATTAAAACTTTGATTAAACCACACACAAAGTTTTTTTTAATTATTTTGAATTATGTATTCAATTGAAAAATGTGGGTACTCATTTAATGATGAAAAGTAGAAATAAATCAGTTAATTACATGTCCCTTGCGTTAGCGTGTGTAATCTTGCAAAGTAAACAAATGAAAGAAATGAAAAAAGTCGATTTGGAGGCATCGGTGAAGAGAATAATATTCTTCCTGTACTATGACATAGAATTGTAAGTGAAGTGTTTAAAGTACGACAGCGGGATCTTCTCAGCGATAATGCCTCTTGAAGTGGTATCATCCCATCATCATCCAACGAATCGACCGCTTTAGAGATTGTCTATTGTGAAAGCTTCAAATTGAATACGTTGAAGCAAAGCTTTCATCGCATTCCGCGCTTTGCCTGCGAATTATTGAAATGTGCGTTGGTTGCATTTGTGAATTCCCGAAACTCGAACGAAATTAACGCTATTTTTTGATTTATCCGTTATTTACAAATTTTAACACACACTGTGGTGCTGGGGTAATATACTTTCCTAGGAAATAAAGTATAAAAGACGAAATACAGCTGCATACAAAGTTTCTACTTTTGAACGAACAAAACGACTTTGCCAAGAACAATGCAACATAATTATTAATTCTACAACTATAACAATAAATCTTTTTGTGTTGTTTTATGAGAAATGCACACACTGGCTTCGGTTTTATTTTTCAATACAGTGGAACCTTGATAATCCGAACTCCGATAATTACACGTAATTTTAGAGAAGTGAAAAAAAGCTAGTTTAGCCGAGAGCTCAAAAGCTAGTTTATATCACGTTTTGCAGAAATACACCGCATGTAGAAGAACACGAAAACGTGTGTAAAGTTTGTTTAWAATTTCTAAAAATACAGCACTAATATTTTGTAAATTTACTTATTTACTTTGGTAATGAATGACATTTTTAATATTCTTTTATAAATTGCAAAACGCACTGAGTATCTGGGGAAGTTATAAGAAATCATTTTTTAGAAAAAGAAGAAGAACAAGAAAAACAGTATATTTTATTTTTGTTTATTTAATATCGCAACCTATGAATATACAAAAAATAATAAAAACTGTAACTAAAAAAATTCTTTTTTACTGTATTACGCCACTGCTCAAATTCCTCCACTATATCCAGTAAGCGTTGGTCCCTTTACATATTCGCCAACTCTAAAGGGTTTAACGATTTTGAAGACTTTTTGATAGTTTATAAATTATAAGTTATACTGGGTATAGATTTTGATTATTTTTGCCTGTAGGTACTAGCAATTTTCTCAATTGTTTGTCGCAAAATAATAAGCTTTTTATAAAATAGGAAATTCAATTGGCATTTCATTTTTTTTTCTTGTGTAAATGGCGGAAAAACTGTACCTCAAAGGTTATGTTTTGAAGTTTAGATATGTAGAATGCTTTGAGAAATCGATTGGGGGCATAAAAACTGCAAAATTCTCAATAGTAGAATAGAGATTTTAGCTAGCGATTAACTAAAATAAGACAGACAGCGCACAAATACATAAGAGCAAATAAGAAAAGCTATAAGTATAAGAAAGAGAAAAGGCATAAGAGCATCTCTTTTATCGTAAACACAATTTTTTATATTTTTCTAAGATAAATCAAAATAATTAAATATTTTTTTAAGTAATTTTTCGAAGCAATTTACTTTTACTTTAATTTTTTTCGAAAAATCGGGAGTTTTCATAATCTGATAAAAACACGTTCATTGCACTACATTCTTGGACTTTTAACGGTTTTGAAGACTTATTGATAGTTTATAAATTATAAATTATACTGGAGTATAAATTTGGACTATTTTAATAAGCTTTTATACTTTTATAATAAGCTTTTTATAAAATAGGAAATTTAACTTGCAATTTTTTTTTTCATTTTTTTTTCTTTTGTAAATAGCGGAAAAACTGTACCTCAAAGGTTGCTTCATTTTATGAATAACCCTATAAATCATTATCGAATTTAAGAGTTTGCTTGATGGCGCTCTCTATGGAGGAGTAGTATAATCACAAATGTAGTTACAGATTGCTTTATTAATGGCTACAATTAATTGTTACTGTATTTTCGATCGAGTATTTATCAATTTTTTTTCTCTAATTTTAAAATTTATTATCACTCGTCTGTCATTCCTACTACTCGATATAGACTTATTGAGCTAAATTAACATAAAAATCAAAGATGATTTTTTCTTTCGATATGATTTTAATTGTGTAATAATAAGAAATTTAATATTATACAAGTCATTCTTTTACTTGTCATATTGATAAAAAAATTACACAGTTTGGAAATGTGATACCGTGAGTCAGATTACCTATAATGTAATGACGTTGTTATAAAATACATAACAAAAAATATTTTGGTTTCATTCAATTGGAATAAGGACAAGAACAACACGTTGTTTTACGAGTATTTTATTACGTGTTTTGTCAACACGCACAAACATAAAAAAGTCACGATAATGGTGCTACCACAATACAATATTTTTGTTTAAATAGATTATCTGCACAATGTTAAGTAAACATTTGTAAAATCTCCACCTGTCAAAACATTATTATTTTCTCGCGGGTAAATTCAAAAACACGCTATAATTCCGTTGTTATAGTAACGGAACATATGATTTACCACGCCTCGAAAATAGTAATTATTTGAAATTTCTGGTTGAAAAAAAAACGTAAGGGGTTGGAAATCGGGCATTTGGGTTGTATTAAGACTAAAGGGTAGCACCGAAGTTAAAAAAATGTAAAACAGTTGGGGTATTTAGTGTAAAATGAGTGTAAAATCCGCGCATGCGCATCTAAGATATGACCTGAAGTCAATGGTACGGCACACTCTCCGTCTCCGGGACGAGTGCGTGAAAATGGTGAATTCCTAGGTTCCGAACCAAAGTCTAGACTGATACATGTAGTGAACCATAATAAACGTTGTATGGTGTGCTTCGGTAAGTGTTTGAGTGGCCCAAATAATCAAATTCACTAAATGACGTTGACCGGGTCTGAGTCAGTAATGGCGTTTGCCGTTCACAGACCTAACCACGGCAGAAGATATTGAAATGACATTTCACAACATCCCAACTCGGGAGGATTCAAAGAAAACAAATTAATTGTTAGTGCAATTGTACGTCGCGACGCATTCGCTAGGCTTACGGAAATTTGTGTAATACACTGTGATACTAACAAAATGTGATATAAAACGACTGAAATGAATTTATAAAAGTGCATCTTGGCCCCGAAAACATTTCTATGCAGTGCTCCTGGACGCACGACTCATAACGAAACTGTTATTTTAAGGGTAAGTCGGGTTTGACAGCAATATGCCACCAGTTACCACCCCACGGCCAAATTTACCAATTAGTGACAATCCACATCCCCAACAACTCGTAAATTACTAGATTAAAACGTACATTCTGCATGATTCATTATTCATTAGCCAGTAATTTGCGAAAAAAGAAAAGTTGGGTTATGTTCTTTGTCATAGTTCCACACTATGGATACATGTTCCTACCTGTCATTTCATGTTTATTTAGAATGTGCGCTAACGAGAAATCAAACAAAGCCAGGACCTTGTACTTCACAATTTCCGTTATTTCTGAGGCCTCCTTATCTTTTTAATTATGGCCATCCCAACCCAAATACGGGCAAATGCCAATTCATTATTTATCCCAATCTTATCTCAATAACTTATATAGCTAGCGCGATAAAATTCCAATAATTCGTTCTTGAACATAATTCTTCGCCAATAAATCTGACCTATATTAATTGTGGGATGAGCGATAAAAAATGCGCGTGTTAGAAAAGGGCATCGATTGTCAGGGCGGAGGTCATTGCCTTTACGTCTCAGAAAACCTCAAATTAATACAAGTTTTACTAATTCAAGGTTCCGCATTAAACCCCAGACACCCACCAACGTAAATAGCAGGGTCCAATTGATTTTTCATTCCCACCTTGACCACAAAATAAATTATTTTTCTCTGACTGAATAAAACCGAATTTGAATTCTTTCAACATCTTTAGTTACTATGGTTTCTGAACTAGCCAAAATACAATCAGAAGCCCTAAAATGATCCATAAATCAGATTTCAGACGTTGCATAACCTTGATTCGTTTCTTAGAAATCAATAATAATTTTAACGTGCACCTCCAACTTAAAACGTGACTTAAATCATCTTAATGTTTTGCAAACATCATTACATTATCATAAGTCATAATTGATAAGATAAAATGTTCAGTTTTGACTGCAACCTTTGTGAAGGAAAACCGTCATTGTAACGTAACCCGTGACGTGATTTTGTATGAACACCCTTATTATTGCGTCGACACGTGACTCGAATAATAAGACTATTGACTCATTATTTTTTTTAGGTATAACCATGGACAAAACCGATCAGAAAAAGAATTCAAAACGCCATGGTTGGTTAAAATTTGTTTGTTTGTTTTTGTTTTTATAAATTTGTGATTATAGGTGCTAACGAGTCTCATGGGACGCGCCATATTTCCAACTCCAGTTCTGGGGTTTTAATGGTGGGTCCAAATTTTCGTGTGGGGAAGAAAATAGGCTGTGGAAATTTCGGCGAATTACGCCTAGGAAAAAATCTTTATAATAACGAACATGTGGCCATTAAAATGGAACCCATGAAATCGAAAGCTCCACAATTACATCTTGAGTATAGATTTTACAAGTTTTTGGGTAGTCATGAAGGAATACCAGATGTTTATTATTTCGGTCCTTGTGGGAAATATAATGCTCTGGTGATGGAATTACTCGGCCCTAGTTTAGAGGATCTTTTCGACATGTGCGACCGGAAATTTTCTTTAAAGACTGTTTTACAAATAGCGATCCAACTCGTAAGTCATGTAGTTGGAAAACTAGAAATTGGTTAATTTCTCTTGTTATAGTTACACAGGATTGAGTATGTACATAGTCGTCACCTTATTTATCGGGATGTTAAACCTGAGAACTTCCTTATTGGACGAAGTAGTACAAAACGCGAAAAAATAATTCACATTATAGGTACTTGATTTGTGGAAATGTAAAAAAAACCAGTGTTTTACTCACCGATTTTTAGATTTTGGTTTAGCAAAAGAATACGTGGAAATGGAAACAAATAAACATATTCCGTATAGAGAACACAAATCGCTGACAGGAACAGCACGATACATGTCGATCAACACTCATCTTGGCAAAGAGCAATCTCGTCGTGATGATTTAGAAGCTTTGGGTCATATGTTTATGTATTTTTTGCGAGGGTCACTCCCTTGGCAAGGACTCAAAGCCGACACGTTAAAAGAGCGATATCAAAAAATTGGTGACACAAAACGTGCCACACCAATTGAAGTTCTCTGTGAAGGACATCCAGAAGAAATGGCAACTTATCTTAAATACGTGCGACGGTTGGATTTTTTTGAAACGCCAGATTATGAATATTTAAGGAATCTGTTCCAAAATTTATTCAACCGCAAAGGTTATCCAGACGATAATGAATTTGACTGGTCGGGAAAGACAATGGTTAGTATATTTTCTCTCTCCTCTAATTACACATTTAAAAAAATGAAAATATTCAAGCCACCGAATTTATATGTACTGCAACAAATGCGGCACGCCCCACCTTCTAACATTATCAAAACAAAGTCGGCAAAGGTAACTTTACGTATTGCTAAATACCCGGAATTTTCGTTGTTTAAAAATTGAAATACCCTGACCGATTATTGCCTTGTCATGACCAATAGAAGGTGATTCTTTGATCGATTCATGTCATTTTTTTGATATGACTGAATTAATTAAGGACTCGTCTTTGCGAAAAAAGCTGTATGCAATTTGATTAAAGTAGGCTAAAAACTGTCGTTCTTATTGAATAAATAATTAGTAATTATTCTTAATCATATAAATTAATGTAATAGAAAAACTTCTTGCTTTCTTTTTATTTCCTTAGCTGTCACGGACACCGCTTTTTTATGTTTATGGTCATAATATGTATTATTGGCTACTGACCTTAGACAATGTCTCACTTAAGTAAATCAACATATTATTGATCTTTGACACGATATTTATTTATGACGTTGATGCGTAACGTATTTATTAAATGATCACTTTAACAAGAATAATGTATTTTTAGAGTACCCCCGTCGGTTCTCTACAAACAACAGCACATGAAGTAGTAGTTTCTCCAAATAGGGAAAGACATATTACAAATAAGGTATGTATTGTAATCGATTAACTATCTTAAATTAGTAGGTTTATAGTAATCTTGCATTTTACTAATTGTGATAAGAGTTGAATGATAATCACGCATGGTATTTGATAATAAACTCATTGCAAGCTGTCTACTTTCTAGATGTATTATAAAAGTAGTTTTTTCGGCCTCCGTCTAAAATTAGTGATTTTCCAATCGTTCAAATCGTCTTGAAAACACCCATTTGCCTGTCTTGGCAAGAAAATAAAAACAGGATTTTTAAATGAAAGTTTTTGTATTGGTAGCACTGAGTGACACTGAAATGTCAAATCTGTTTTGTACTTACAAATTCTGGCCACAGCCAACAAATGACCTTTTGGAAGTCTGCAAAAACCATTTGTTTCACATAAACATAACCTCAAACCATGATGAATGACTAACCGGTGATTTCTTCGGGCCTAAATCTCGTCGAATTTCTACACCATTTCACTACACACCGAAAAGTCGAATCAGAATGAATCGAATTTTTAGAAAATTTTCAAAAGCCCATTTCTTCAACAAATCATATTCTTTCCAATAACGATTGGACGACTTTTCTGGCAATAAATTCTGAATTGCAGCTTCTGCCACATTTTGAATATCTTGTGTATCCATTTTCAACGAATGCAATTGAATTTTCTTCTCAAAAGTCTTAATTACTTTACAAATGTCATAAAATTATTTTGTATTTAAATCATTACACCGTGGAGTAAGTGCTACCAATAGAAGAAAAATGAATTCCCTAGCCTGAGAATACAAATAACTACTGTGCGATCAAATAAAAAATAAATTAGAGTAGGCGTCGATTAAATTCTACAGTTGGCAACACATTGGCTGGGAATCTGGMCTGGAAATTTTTCACACAAACTGAAAGTGAAAATGACCATCCACCTCTTGTGCAGCGATAAAAAATTTTTGCTCTAAACTGAACATTATTTCACTCAAAAGGAATAAAACTTGGCAGTTTCCGTTGACATTTGATGTCAAAAATCAGGATTGCCATCTGAAGGACTTTAATCACCGCCTACTCTAATTTATTTATTTTTTTGATCGCACAGTATTTTGATTTTACATTACAAAGGGCAAGAGATAAGCAAATGATAGAAATATTGAGTGTGTCTGATGGTGTGTGTGTGTGTGTGTGTTGGCTGTTGTGTTTCCCGCTTTGGCTTGTATGTGTGGAATAACAAAAAAGTGCTAAATGAAGAATCCTTTGTAGACAACTAGCAAAGCAAATGCATGGCCTGAAGCTTCGAAGCAGAGTACATTGGGCAACTTGACACCAGCTGACCGTCACGGTTCTGTACAGGTTGTTAGTTCGACCAATGGCGAATTAAACGCCGATGACCCCACAGCTGGACACAGCAACACACCTATAACTCAACCTCAGGAAATTGAACTTCTTGATGAAACAAAGTGAGTATAAATGTCGTGTTGTAATGCACAGTATATTTATTGTTTTTCTTTTTTAAGAAAACGAATTTGTGTGTGGTTATCTTTTAGGTGCTGCTGTTTCTTTAAGAGAAAGAAGAAGAAAGGTGTACGCACTAAATGACTACAATACAGCGAGACAGACCAACATCTCACACTGTTGCCGTGTGGACATAGTAGTGCTGCAACACTTAATTGACTATGTTTAAATGAAGACTTCTGTCGACTTGTTACGTTGTACTATTTAAATAGCTAATTTAGGTTAGCCTTAATTTAAATATAAGTTAGTATAAGTCATACCATATCTGTGAACGTCTACGGAAGCCTTACTCGTCCTCGGTTCTGTACTTTTTTCCATTTGTATTTTTAATCTTACCTAGTTTGTCGTATTTATTGTTTACCAAATACTACGTTGTATGAATTATTTGACTTAGTGTAGTGTGTGTTCTAGTAAACATTTAACATATAATTTTTATCTATGAAAGGAGAACATGTTGATTTTTGCGAGTAAGGCCGAGTTTTAGTATGTTTGATAAGGGATGATTCTTACTGAACAATGTAAAATGATAATTGAGGTGTAAATAATCTAACAGCCTTTCACCGCATTTACAATTGTTTGGAACACGCATCATTCTTAACGCCAAATTTATTATTGCTATTTTTTAAAYCTTGCTCTTTTTGTTTGTATATAGTAATGTTCGCATGTTGAACGTTAAAATATTTAATTCGCAGTCTTTTTTTTATATAAACAAATATATTTGGCACGTTCAATATGGGGACCTGAAGGAATTTTAACGTAAAGTTGTGATTTAATCGTTGTATAAATTTGCTTTGTTGTTGATCTCAAGTAAAAATTGATCGACTGCTTAACTCTTCTTTAAACCACAAGCAACCTACAAGTTTATATGAACGTTGATAACTTGTGGCTCTACTTTATACCAACAATATGATTTTAATAATTTCTTTTGTGGCTCGTATAAAATATAGAATGTTAGAACACAGTGTTTTCTTATTTCTTTACCCTTTTTTAATTGCTAAACTCGGCAAACTCTAAAATTTCGACTTTTTGTACATACAACAAAAATTATTGAATGTATTATATAATTGATTCCATTTTTCTTCCTACGGTTTTAAAATTATTGTAATATGTATAAATTGTTGAATTCAAATTAATAAAAGAAAAATCATAATTTTGTAGTTTCTTTTTTTACAAAGAAAAACTACTTGTACCACTTGTTTAGTTAACAATTAAATAATGATATAAAACAAAGGAAAATGTAATTGTTCATAGAAAGTCATAATTTCATGAAAAGTTATCATTTCGCTTTTATTTTTTGATATCACAATTTGATACAAACAAAACCTGCTTTAGATTGCTGGTTTGTTACCACTAGGTAATGATTAATTTTTTATTTTTAAAAAATTTGAAAAATGTTAAAATCAATTGATTTAGTGATAGATAGTAAATAAAATTCTTTAGAATTGTGTTTGAATAATGTAGCGACCCAGCATTACCAACCTTCGGTTATTTCTGTCAGATACCTCACGCTGTTTTGCTGGTGGCATATATCACAACTCCGTAACGTACTAGACTAGATTTTAGTAAAATTTGAGATCCAGATAAGATGTTTTTTCAGTATTTCTCAAAAAAATAAATTTTGAAACACCGATTACAACGGGTGTTAGTTGCTTTTACGTATTTTGTCAATTTGGCTAAGACTATATTGAATGGTTAATGATTTAATTCATGCGAATGTAAAATGTTCCGAGGAGTCGACTAGCGTTCAGAAAACGACAAAATGTGTAATAGTTTATAGTCGAATATATATTTCAAACATTTTTAACTCTATTAGCAATTTTCTTCATAATTATATAACAATGATTATTTTTTATGTGATAGAAAATTAAAAGTGTTTTCTAACGGTACTGAACATAAAGAGCTATTGCAAATAATTCCGGAGTAATTGGCGATAGCCCACTTGGGTCTAAATCGCCTAAAATCTCGACAAAAAAAAATCCACTTTAAAATTGTTTCACTTAAAATATAGTTTTCTAGACACGATGCAACAAGTTAAAATACTCTACGATGCATAGTTTTTGAGATATTGAGTGAAAAATGCTAGCATACAATTTTGAGCAAAAAGTCAACATTTTTATGATTCATATGAAAAACTAATACTAAAATACTAGTACTATTAACCGGAAAACGCGGCTGTGCAAACCGTTTTGACCTAGGACTCATAGTTTTTGAGATATGATTTTTTTTTATTTTGCACCCGGAACCATAACCCGGAGCAACATCCGGTTTGCGCCAGTAAATAGATAATTTCAAGCTAATTTTAATGGTTTTCAGCTTTTTGCTCTAAGTCTTATAGTTTCGTCGAAAAATGCGTTTAAAATTTGACAATTTTTACTTTTTGAACGGTGATTATGGCCAAACTATAAGACTTAGAGCACAAAGTTTAACTCCATCGTAATCAGCYTAAGAAAATCTATCGACTGAGGCCAAAGCCAAGTCGATATCTCGCAAAAAAAAATTGAATTTTTAAACGCCGATTACGGCGAAACTAAAGGAGATAGCCCAAAGTGCTGGATAAATTCGTAATCAGCGCGTCAAAATCTATCGGATAAGATAGGTTTAAATCGAATCTGAGACATCTTCAAAAAAAAACTAGTTTTTAACGCGGGGGGGTGTTGACAATTTTTTACTTTTTTTTGTTTTGTAAATTGCGGCAAAACTGTGCCTCAATGATATAATACTTTGACCTAAACCTATGTAAAATGTTCCGGGGAATTGATTGGCGTCAAAAAAACTGCAAAATTCATAATAGTTTTGAAGTCGGATTTATATTTTCCATACTTTATCACAAATTTTCTCGATAACTATTTATCGTAGAACTCTGATCTTTTTTTATATGATAGAAAATTAAATTTGCTTTCCAACGGTACCAAACATAAGAGGTTGTTACCAATAAGTCCGGAGTTATTGGCAATAGAGCGCTTCGGGTGCCAAAAATCGACCAAAATCTCGACAAAATTCCAAAAAAATGTTAACATTAAAATTGATCCATTTAACGTTTTTTACATTACTAGAGGTCTTAAAGGCTCAAATAAGTGCATAAAATGTTATTGGGTCAAGTTTCAAAAATTTTGAATTTTTTGAAGATGAGCGGTAGTAAAATCGTAAAAATAGTCAATTTACCTTAAGTCGTAAATACACTTGAAATATGGTTTTCTAGACGTAAAATTACACGCTGAACACGATGCAACAAGTTAAAATACTCTACGATGCATAATTTTTGAGATAATGAGTAATAAAATTAAGAATAAGGCTAGAAGTATAAGCACTATATCAGGTTTTGACCAAACGGTCATTTTTTTTATTCTTATGAAAAACTAGTGCTGTAAAATTAAGCGGAGAATACGCCTGTATAAACCGTTTTGACCTGGGACTCATAGTTTTCGAGATATGTCTGTTTTTTACGAAAAACTAAAATGGTGTTAACAAATTTTTACTTTTTTTATTTTGTAAATTACAGTAGACATGTAAAATGTTCTGAGGAATTATAGTCGTATTTTTATTTTGTAAAAGAAAATTAAATTTAAATTCCGGAATCATTAGTAATAGACTGCACCGTGAGCTCCAAAAGTGCATAAAATGTATAAGAAACGCAAAAATAAATATTGTGTTTGAATGATTTTATTGGATTTAAGCACAGACATCAGCCGGGGACATGATGGCGCAGAGGCAGGTAGATTCGGGGTTCTAACTCAGCAAATAAATAATAAGAGCTTTAAGAAATAATAAAAAAAAACTTATTTTACGATTTTTGAGATTATCACAAGCGATGTAACTTTAGTGCGATAAAGAAAAAAGAAATGAAATGATTTACAATCGTCGCCATGTTGTAAACTTTATTCAGCTCTGTTGTATGTTTATTTATGTACATTTCCACAAAAGTTTGCACTAACTTTAAAGGCATGACAATTATAATTAGGGCACTAGTCAGTTGGACGGAACATATCTGTAAAAAATTGACTAGACAGTACTATTTCTATCACAAGAAGTATTAAAAAAGGCACTAATTGTTGTTAAAATCTTTACTGTCTGCTAATACCCATAGAAGGAACATAATTTATAAAAATCCCTACATTTGCATTTGTTAAATAACTTAATTGCTACTGACCAGAATAATGAAATTTTATGGTGATACAAAATTAGGGACTTTTAATTACATTCTAAACTAAATGAGTGAAATTAGTGAAAATGTATATAGGCAAGTTCCATACAATCACTAGTTTAATTGTGCTTTTGGAAGAGAAGTTTATACAGGTTTTTAAGTAGGTAACCTATTACACAGAATTTTTCTTGTGCTTAATATATACACTTAACAGCGCTACTATATTACAAAACGAACTAGAATGTGATTCAGAAATTTTGTATCACAAAATATTTCCCTTTCACTGCTTTTCTCATTAATTACGACGTGCTTTTCAGTTGTGATTTTTTTGACGTTAATAGAGAGCGCTAATTTAAAAACAGTATAAAAAGTTCTGTGATATTTTTCTGAAATGCACATCACTTCAATAAAAGTCTATAACTAAACTATCAACTAATATTAAAGTAATATTTAAGTAGATATAATATTTATTATATTATGTAAAGGACTAGACTATAAAGTAATTAGCTATCTACCTCTTATTCTTGAAATTTATTGCACTTTCTTTTGCAGTAACAACAAAAACTTTCTGCAAAAGTAGGAGCAATCAAAGTCTGTCATATTCATTGAGCATTATTACTTAACTCATAAAATGGTAACTAACTGGAATAATAATTTAAAATAAATTTGTCTTAATAAATAAAGTCAGATCTAATTAAATTAGATCTCAGTTTCAAAAATGAGTAAATATTCGACGAACGTAGCGCCAAAGCACATCCTATACAGAATTTAATCAACAGATGGCGCCTGACTTTCTAAAATGCGGTGAAACAGTCGATTTCGAAGCGGATGTGCTAATTAATCTAATTTATTGCAATCTTGCTTCTTGTAATGTCTGTGCTTGAGCTGCTGTTTGATAAGGAATAGCAGGAAAAGCTCCTGCTGTTGCTGCTGGGAGTCCAGGTGTCTGAGGAAGTGTATAAGTATACGGCAAATATCCTGCTGCCCCTGAAAACCCCATCAATGCAAAAATTTCAAATGTTAACAATCGACAAACCTGCAGCTCCCGTATACGGAGTATATGCATCGAATCCATTCGCATATTGGCCGGTATAGGGGGCGGCAGCTGCAGCTGCAACGGCGGCGGCATTTTGATACTCGTAAAACTGCGACGTGGCGGCGGCAACAGCGGCCGCATGGGTCAGTTGAGTCGCTGGAAGGGGCACAAGACTCCCGGGGGCGGCAGCGGTTAAATACGGAGATTGGTACACGTAACCAGGAGGCATTCTGGAAATATACTCAATTTAGTTCAAAATCAAGGGTTAAATAGCAAACACAGCAAGCAACACCAGAGAAATAAAATACCAAAAAAAGAAAAAACACCTCTGATGCACTAAAATTAAAAGTAAAACACGTTACAGGGCGACCTTCTAAACATTATAGCAACTAAGTACGGTTCAAAAGACACCAAGTCATACTTTTAGCATATCAAGCTCCAGATCGGCCAAAGGTGCCAWAATGCCCACAACTTCTTCGTTAAATCAACTAAAATAAATAAAAATACTTCAATTTAAGTCTTCTATTTCTCAAATTGATAATGGTTTTCCGTTATTCATTATTTAGTGTGCCACAATGACGCAAATTCAATGATGAAGTTTTTCCCGAATTTATTTTCTTGCATGACAATGACGCGCTAGTGTAGTGAAATCGAAGTTTATTTAAATGTTTATTTTTGGACAGATTCAAATCGCGTATTTTATGGCTTTTACGCAATATAAAGCATTGTGGGTTTTTGTTTCAGCTGGCAGAGAGTATTTATTGCACCTGATAAATCCAGTAGCAAAGCTAAAACAGTAGGACATCAAGGACCTAGCCATTATAAGAAGACATTTGCTGGGACGAGAGACACTGCCAAGACTGCCAAGTCTATTTCTGTCGCCCTATTTAACATTGTTTGCGCGTTTTGACTAACACATTATTTTTAACTGAAGCGATTTTTAAATTTTAGCGGGATATTACCGGTTCCCATCATTCCAATATTCACTGAATTATTGATAAAGTGTTTGAGTGCATGCGGACGAAATTACCGCCATTTTCGATTTTTGTTGACAAGAGTTGCTACTTAGATAGTCAATATGTGAGGGTCGTGGAGTAATTTAACAAATGACCACTCTGGAAATGTTGGACCAACACGTCAAATCCCTTTATGCCATTTGCATGACAGAAAATTGATTTTTCGGGAAAAAGTCGTGTGACAGCTACGGATTACCGTACAAATAATGGAATATTGAAATCTAGGTTTACCGGACACGCCGAACATCGATTCGAAAAACATTACTTCTAGGCAATACAACGAACATTTCACTTTTGAATCGATGATGATCGATTTATTACAAAACAATTTATTTTATAATCACTCGAAAGGCTTGGATTATATGCACAAAAAATTCGTAAATATGCACTTTTAACAATAAAAAATCACAGTTGGGATAAATTTTTATCTTCGAGTACACTAAACTTTGTAATTTCGACATCTAGAACTGCACACAATGAACAAAAGAGAATAAATAAATTGGTTTTGCCTCAGCCAAGCCATTTTAATAACCTAGTAATTAACCTTTTCTAAGAAATCTCTACTTTTCAGATCACATCATTTTAAAATATTTCGCTAAAATTCACTTGCAGGCAACTATTTATACGAATGGAAGGATTATAGCCATAAAGTATAGAACCAAACGTTTTTTGCTTTTGGAAGAACTAATTAATGAATGATAAAGTACTATAAAAATGTGTTTTATCAAAAATAAAGTTTTTCAAAATCTTCTTTTGTTTTTAAGTTCTACAAAAATATTTTTTTTAAATGACAACCTACTAGAAAACATTTTTTTCATTAAGGTTATGATCTAAAAATTACAACTATCTATATTATATTCATTTTTTTAGTATTATTTTACATATATTGCGATTTTGACAAAAAAATGCATAACTCAAAAACAAAACATTTTTTTTTCTCAAAATACGATCACATTTTTATATTACTTTAAGTATTATTTTCTAGAGGCAAATGATTTAAAAAAAACGCTTAGTTCCATACTTTATATTCACTCTGTATAAAACGAATTCAAAAAGGCAACACTCAGCAGGATACTAATTTTTTGAGTCCGTTTTACGAATTACCGGTTGTTTTCTCTTTAACATATTTTGTAATTGGATCTTTTTTCTTAAACTGTCTACTTTTTAACTTGAACTGAAATTTTTAATCAGAAATTTGTGATTTGAAGAAAACATGCACAAATATGCATTTTTTTATTGGCCTATTTAATCAAGATACGATAGAAAACTTATAATTTTGTTGATATACCTCTTAATAACAAATATGCACGAAAAATTCGTCAAATATGTGCATATATATGCACGTATTTTCACAAAAATATGCGCAAGATATTAAGAAATATGTTCCAATATTTGCCAAATATGCATTGATATGTAAAACTTTCAATAAAAAAATCAAAGTTGGGATAAATTTTTATTTCCAACTTTGTATTTTTGGCATCTTGAACAAAAGAGAATAAATAAATTGGTTTTGCGACAGACAACCCATTTTAATAACCTAGTAATTAGGCCTTTTTTAAAAATCTCTACTTTTCAGATCACATCACTTTAAACAATTTGGCTAAAATTTGCAGGTACCTATAAGAATATGGCTATGTATAGCCAAACCAGGTGAATAAAAAGTATGGAACCAAATGTTTTTTGCTTAAACTATGTATTTTATGGAAAAACTAATTGATGGATGATAAAATACGATGTTTTATAAAGAATAAAAATTTTGTTTTTCTACAAAAATGTTTTATTTTAAATGGCAACCCACTAATAATCCATAAGGATTACAACTATCTACTTTATATTAAATAAAAAAAAAAAAATACATAAACTGCAATTTTGACAAAAAAAATCGCATAACTCAAAAACAAAACAAAATTTCGTTCCCAAAATACAATCACTTTTTGTTTTAGTGTAATTTATATTAATTATTATTTTCTACACTGCTTAGTTCCATACTTTATATTCACCCCGTATAAAAGGAATTTAAAAAGAAAACACTCAGCAGGATATTAATTCTTCGGTTATTTCTCTTTAACATATTTTCTAATCGGATCATTTTTCTTAAGTTGAACTGAAATTTTTAATCGGAAATTTGTGATTTTAAGAAAATATGCACAATTATGTAATATTTCGTAAAATATGCCAAAATATGCATTTTTTAATTAGTTTACTTTAATTAAAAAACATAATTTTTTTGATATACCTCTTAATAACAATATGTATTTTGCATATAATCTGAGCCTTTATAATCAGTTAAACGTAAAATTCAAGTTTCTCGAATCCATGATTGGCCAAGAAAAACAAGAAAATTGATTTTGTTATGWTGTGGGTAATAATTAGCCGCGATAAGCAATGTGCCAGATTGAAATTTTCTCAAAAATGACAGTTGTCACATTGCCTGGTTAGACAGCTGAAAATTTTCGAATTTTGACCCTGTACCAAAAATATGGAAGTTGGAAATGTATTGTTGGTATTTTGGCAAGTTTTACATTTTGCGACGTCTGAATCAGTAAATAGCCTTGAATGATACATATTTACGAAGCGACCGATAATATTTATAGATGGTTGATATTTTCAGGAAAAGTTCCAGTCAAAGTTAGTAATTATTATCAAAGAATATGGCAATAGCTTGCAGTAAAATTGGCTTAATTTTCGAAAATTCGATGAGTGTGTGCAGATTTTAAATGAGGATTTTGGAGGTTTTCGCTTTACGTCTCGAATTTATGAAGTGAAGCAACGCTGTATTAATTTATGTCGGGCGATAAACTTATTTTAACGGTTGGTAAACGAGGAATTGGCTGATAAAAACGAAGAACTTGCGATAACCGCGTTCGATACAAACCCGCTGAATACCGATGTGCATAATTAAAAAGTTGCTGTCGCCTTATTACACAGAAACTTCACGTTATAGAGTTTTTCGTTTACATTACACGGGAAATTGTGTATATTTACCCACCAGTTAAGGGTTCTAAAACCCACAAACATCGCTTTATTCTACCAATCCCAATTTATTATTGCCGCATTTCTCATTTATTTTACTAACATTGATAAACACGTCATTTATTATGCACACTTCAATTATTTAGAGTGTGCCAAGTTCACAATTGTTACTAAGTGGACAAAAATCGAATAAAAACCACCCTTAAGATGATTGCGCCTCTCAAACATTTTTCAAATAAGGTCACTTGTGCCATGCATTACACACACCAATTTAATTACACCCAATGGCTCCCGACAAACAAACAATCCATTATTAAACTACTACCTAATTCAACCCGCAATAATTTCATTTCTGATTTATTATCTCACTTAAAACTGCTTTTACCTAATTACTATAACACTTATATGGACCGGAAAGAATCAGCATCGATTTTGTCTCCTGGAAAAACAAACAATTCATTTTCTTATTGTTCCTGATTTCACTAAACAGCAGTCTCAGTTAATTGCTACAATTGCTGTAATCCGATTAATTTAATCTTGAATTTAAGAACGTACTCGTTTACACATATGAGGCAAAACGAACAAGAATTTTGGCTTGCCTTAGACGGATTTTTTTCAAAGTTTGTTAACGATTTAAAATTTGATTTGTCTCGGACCAACGGAAAAAAGGAATCCCTTCTTAAATATAGTTATCAAAAAGATTGAGATTTGAAACTGCTGTATAATTGATAATTTCAAAGATTTGCTACACGTTTATAAAATTGTGTTATACAGGCTATCAACTTCGTTATTTAAATAGAAAGTCAAGTGATTTTGAGAGAGTTTTTATCAGATTTCTCTATACTTAAATTTCAGCATTTTTGAATTGTTTAGACTTTTTTATTTTTTTTAATTTGCATCTTCCTCTCCAAAAATCTATAACTTTACCATTTTTACTTATTTTAAAATCCTGTTTGGGTATATGAAAAAGAAAGGTTACATCTTTTTTTTTGTGTATTCATAATTGGAAAAATAATTAACAAACCTCCAAAATTTAAGGTTTCGTTTAGGAAACTTCAAATTCCCGCAACTGAAGGCCCCAATTTTTTCTTCACTAAATGAAAGAGAATTTAATTCTGCATTGATCTGTATTAACATTCCCTATAGCTAAATTTAATGATTTCCAAGTTATTTTGACTTTTTTTTACTTTACAATGGAAGAAATTCATTACTATTCATGGTAGTTTTCGCATGGAAATATT